AATTTAATATATTAAACATGTTTGTTATATTAGAAAAATTTATAATACAAATAGCCAAGAATGTTTATTATAAATAAAAATTAATTTAGCTAAGTAAAAAGAAAGTAATTACAATTGCAAAACATAAACTATCTACTTAATCTCTAATAAAAGTAAAACTGCTATTTAATAAAAACTAGTTACTATTATAAATCTTATAACTAACAATATATTTGTAGAAACAATAAACTAAACTTGTAATTTATTACTAACTATAATTATATATTTATCATACTTGAAATAAAAAAGAAGAAGAGCTTCAACTTTAATTTAATATAGTAAAATCTTGGTTAAGATAATAAAAGAAGATAAAAATTAGAAAAAGTGTAGGCTAATAGAAAAAAACTCACAAAAAGAAACTAGTACTTACTTACAAATAATAATCTACTTACCAAATTTAATATATTTGTTTTAAATTAGCCACTGTATATTATATAAGAATTGGCTTAGTTTAGTAACAAACTTACTAAATACTAAAATGACAATAGTAATAATAATAGTAATAATAATAATAATAGTAATTTAACATATAAAAATAATGATAAGACTAAGATTAAAAAAAATTAAAACAAGAAAATTAGAGTTAAAAAGACTAAACATAAAGCATTTGAATATTTTTAGAAAGCTACTATAAATAAGAAATTTGATATGCAAAATTATTAATATTTTATAATAAAAAACTTGGATAAAGCTTGTAAAATTAGAATAGAAGAATTAATGAATTTAAAAAATTGATTTAAAATAATATAAAAGTGATAAAAAAACCTATTATAATCAAAGAAAATTGCTAATTTAAAGGACCTCATATTCTGAAATCTAGAACAAATTAAGTAGTTAAAGTTAAGTTTGATAAACTAAAGAAGAATTGTAAAAATTAGAAAACAAAAGTAAAATAAAGAAAAAATATATTAAAAAGAATTAGTTAAACTCACTTCTTAAGAAAAGCTAATACTGAAAAAATCTAAACTAATATTATCAGAAGAAGAGACTAATAAAGTTGCAAAATGTAAACCAAAACTTGAGAAGGCTAAAAAGTTAATATAAAACAAAAAAAAGTTGGTTCAAAAAAATATTAATAAACTAAACAGTAAAGAAACTGTAATACAAATTGAACCAAAACTATTATTTAGAAAGAAGGTTAACAATAATAAAGAAAAAAATTATATTAGAGATAAATTAGTAAAATAAATCAAAAATAAAAAGACAAAGAACAAAAAAAACTTATTTTCAATAATCAATTTAGGCAGTAACTCTATTATCAAAATATTGAAGTACAAGAATTTAGAGTTTCTGTAATGCTTCTATTTTTATAGTTAAGAAAAAAAGAGAATTTATATATAATCTATATAAACTAAATAAAAAAAAATATAAATCTGATTTTTGAAATTATTAGTGTCTAAATTAAAATAATGGTTTCTACCTAATTTAAAATTACATAGAAAATTACAAAAATATTACTTTTTTATTTTTTTGCTTCTATTATTTTTGTTATTTTTATTACTTTAGTTATATATATAATAAATATAATATTGTTACAAAGTAGATTTTAGTATAATATATTATAAAGTAATATTAGTAATATATATTCATTATTGTATTTTATATATTTATTATTAGTTATTAGTTAGTCGATAGTTATATTATATAGTAGATAGATAAAAGGATTTTAATTGTCTATTAGAAATGTGGTACAGCTACATGGCATTGAGTAACATCTGTGATGTTACTATCATTTTACAAACCCCAAATATCCTTGTACAAGTTTCATGTATTATAATATCAAATTACTGTGCTAAGTGCTATAGCACAAGAATTCCAAGTATCTTTAACACAAACTCCAAGTGTCCTTGTATGAACCTTAAGTATCTCTACACAAATCTCAAGTGTCTTTGCATAAATCCAAGTGCCTAAACACAAGCTCCAAGTGTTTTAAGCATGAATAACAAATAATATAAACAATATTCTCAGTTGCCTCTGCACAGTTCTTACTATCTCAAGTACAATATTATTTAATATTATTCAAACCTTTACTATCCCAAGTACAATGATATTTAATATTGTTCAAACTTTTATTATTCTGAGTACAGTATTAAGTAATGTTGCTTGAATTTCCACTATTCTTGCTAGGTAAAAAGATATATAAAAGGTACCTTTTCCTCTTCTTTGCCAATTCTAAGTTCCTATACTACAACCTAGACCTTCTTACCTTACTTTTAACTTGTAAAAGTAATATTCCTCCTCTAGGGTAATTCCTACAGGCAAGGTTGTTACTATGTGTTTATTTAATAAAAGTTAATCTATCTATTGTTATTATCTTAAATCATTTGCCTGCTGCTATATAGTAAAGTAAACTACTACACCTTTATCTAGAGTTGGCATATTTGTTCATTGGCACCAATGGACTCCAGGTTCATTGACCAAATCCATTAGATCTATTTGGTAATCTCTGAACTCAATAGACAAGTAGATTAAATAAAAATATATTTTTATAAATAATTATGTATATTATAATATATAATTACTAATTACATCAATATTTAATATTATATATCATTAAGCTGAATAGCTAAGAATTCACTTTATAAATAAATAAAAATTCTTATATTACATAATTCTATATTATCTTCAATCCATGTTCTACAGCTTTGGATTCAATGAATTATATTTACTCAATGCTACTTATTTTATAAACAATTACTTCACATACAAATTATTTCACAGATAATTAATTTGTAGAAAAGATTGTCTTATGATAATTAATTTACAGACAACATATTTCACTGATAGCACATTTCATAAACACAATAATTCTAGCCATTGTTGTTACAGTTAGATTTAGAATTAGAGTTAAAGTTAGTGCAATTTATAAAAAAAACTTGTGAAATAAGCTATCAGTAAAATATATTGTTTATTAAATAAAATTGTTTGTGAATTAATCATCTGTAAAATAAACATTGTTAGTGAATTAATTTTGATAAACTAAGTTAGTAAAATAATATGGACTCATTATCTTTAGATAAGCAGATTATTTGATCTGAACAATATATAACAGTAATATAGTTTTTTTTAATAGAATATATTTATCAAAAAAATTCTTAGATAATATGTAATATATAAGAAGTAATAAATAAATTAGAAAAATCAAGGCACAACTTGTATTTAAATTATTAGTAACTTAACTGGCAATAATAGTTTGGGTTTGATTATATGAAAAGTATTACACACACAATATATTTATCATTTGAAAGCAAGCATCTGGTTAATAGTGCTACATGTAAATTTTATTAAGTGATTATGCAGCATATATCAGAGTGATTAATGTATAAACTAAGATAAGATATACACCTGAAAATAGCAACTATAATTGTGCCAGGTATCATTATCATTAGCTAAATTTATAATGCATAGCATCAGTTGGTGGTTTCCCACATTGCATAAAGCAGGCTAACTTGACATAAGGTTTAAAGTTATGACAAAATAGCAGGATTCTGCCTGGATTCCAGCTAATAGTGCCAGATGTTAAATTAGCAGTAATTATTTTTGATAGTATGCAGTATACATCAATACAATTAATATGCTAAGAGTGTGCAACATACATTTGTGCGATTAATGTACTGAAAATATGAAGTGTATATCAATAATTGATGTATTGAGTATGTGTAGTGATTGATGTACTAAGAATATGAAGCATATATTAATATAATTGATATATAAACTGAGACAAAAGATACTTCTAGAAAATAGCAACTGAAGTTGCACTAGCTATTACTGTTATTAGCTGAGCTCATAATATGGCACATCAGTTAGTGGTTTTCTGTTTGCATGAAGCAAGCCAACTGGCATAAGGTTTGAAGATACTATAAAAGATAAACTTCTGTCTGGTATAGGAGGAATGCCCTTAGAAATAGTAACCAAAGTTGCACTGGGTCTCTCTGTCATTAGCCAAGCTTGTGATATGTAGTATCAGTTAGTAGTTTCCTGTCTGCATAAAGCAAGCTGACTAATATAAGGTTAGAAGATACCACAAAAGGTAAACTCCTTTCTAGGAATGAAAGGGATTAGGTGTAAATTTCATTTATTAACTTTGGTAAAATGCTTGTATGACTAATCACTCTATTTATTTTAGCAATAAAATTATTATTAGTAATTATCTAATAATTCTGAATTGAGCAGCTGATTGAATTATACTTATCTGATGCATATGCTTTTCTATATGCTACTAGCTTATCTGGTCTGCATGACCTAGCAGAGTTGGTTCTAACATATTCTTGCTTAGTAAACTTTTTAATCTGTTAACTTTCCATTAACTTAAAAGAAAGTGTAATCAGATGATTTTGTGCTATATAGTTCGTAACTTATGGAAATAGAGTTTATTGTAGCTTTTGTGTAATCTTATATTGATATTAAAGTGTGTACCACCAATTTGTAGTTTAATAAAGCCAATTATGTATAAATAAAGTAGAGGGATTAGTAAATCTAATGTATATTTTCTTTTATAAATTGTACAAACTGAAATAAAGATAACACAAATCTGGTTATTAAGTCTAGATGGCAGTTGAACTAAAGGCAAATAAATTTCTTAATTAATGCTATAAGAACATGGTTGGAACTTGAAAGTAACTTGAATTAAACTGAATCTATATGATATTGATTAAAGTTTTAATTTTATTAAGAATAGTACAGAAATTATTGAGTACAATTTTTTTTTATTAGTAATTCATGAGTGACTAAATTAAAAAAATTTATATAATTATCTATAAATTATAAATTTTTATGTATTATGATAGCAAGTATTTTACACAGACAGGTCAAAAATTTCATACAAAATAATATATGAAAGATCAAATATATATTTTGTTCAATGTTCAAAAAATAATTCAATTAGATAGAATGCTATGTATATTTATTATGTAGTTAAAATACTATATAACTAATTGTACTTTTATTAATATAAAATATATTTATAAATCAGAAATGAATGAAGGAGCCAGAATATTTTCTTTAAACAATGTTTGTAGTTTCCACTTTGCATCCTTATTAATAGCAGAATGAACTATCTGATTAATATTATCTGTACTAATATTAATTTTATCCAACTGTATATTTTTTATTGGTTTGGTCTTCTTCAGATATCATATTTATCCATCAGTGCATTACTTTATTTCAGTTATCTACATTAATTATAGGTTCACATTCATCTGTTTCTTCTACTTTATCTGTTTTATTTACTTTATCTGTTTTATCTACTTCATCATCAGAACTATTACTAGAATTTTTATTAAGTATTAATAAAGATGCAGTATTATTTTGTTTATACTTTTCTATTAACATTTTAATTTTTTTTAATCAGTAATGATAATTTATAGTAGCATGAAGCTGGCTCATCTGAAGTACTCTAAGGCTAATTTTTCAAAAAAATTAATAAGTTTTAAGAAAATTTCTCAGTTTAGTTTACATATAATATATGTACATGGGTATTAATTAATGAATTGTACTTTGTATAGCATAGCTTTATTAAATTTTATAGTAAGATTAATTTTAAAGCCTAGATAAAAGCTAGGGCTCTGCAAGTACTGTCACATATTATTAAAAATAGTGCCTGTGTCTGTGCCTGGCACTATGTTTTAATAGTGCCTGTGTCTGGCATTTGCAAAGCCCTAATAAAAGCATATCTTATTTTAAAATTTTGCAAGAAATTTTTGGTAAAAAACAAAAATAATTTTACCAAAAAAATTTTAAGAAATACTCATGTACATTTATGTAATGTATAAATAGAAATTTTTAAGTTTAAAATATAAAAATATTAAAAATTAATTTAACAAACCTTTAAACGAGATTATGTTTTGCTATGTAACCAACTCATATAAGAAAAAAACCTCCCAACAGAGGCAGAATTAATACAAATTCCAAAAATATGATATGCAATTTTATCTAATTCTTTTGCTAAAGTGTTACAATATTCTCAATATTCTATAATATTAGCAAACTAATTTGCAACACATACTGTAAATGGCTTTTTTTTTTTTAATATTTCTTAAGCTCTGATAAAAGAGTAAGCAGTTCATTACCAAACTAGTTATAAAAATAATATATAAGCCAATCGCCAAGCTGAAAATAAAGTTGCTTATTTGTTGAACTAAACATTGGCATTCTATATTCAGGATGAAAAAGAAATAAATGAAGTAATAAAGGCTGTTCTTACAAATCTCATTAGTGCTCCAATCAACTAATTATATGATTAGCTAATTCTTTATCTGGATAATTTTTATATAAATTTAATAAATAGGATATACAATGAAGAACCTTATGTAAACATGCTTTGTCTTGTTGTAACTTATTAAGACATGCATACTAAGAAAGAAGAAGTTGAAAAGGCTCTTGTAGTTGTGACCACCAGCTTTTATTATTAATAATTCTATATATATTTTTAGGTAAATAAAGTGTACTAGATTCAATATTTGTAAAAAACTCAAATTTAGCAACTAAGGTCTATATTAGTAAATATAAAATATGATTAAAGTAATTATTATATTAAATATATATTTTTTTTTTGAACTTTGGTGACAATGCCAGTTGATTTATTAGCTTTAATTTGATATAATACAAATTTAACAGTTATATTTTTAGAATCAATTATTACTAGTACTATATACTATCTAATTTTATACCACTGACTTTACCTAGTTACCCATATAGCATCTAAGTGCATGTCTGTCACATGGCTGCATGCAGTTATCTTAACAACTACTTGTGGTCAAAGCATATTATTAAACTGCTATACAGACAAGGATACTTACTGAACTTAATACAGTATCTCAAATGCCAGAGGTACTATTTTCTGTAAATTATATTTATATGTCCCACTCACATGTTTTACCTAGTCTTGTTTTTTCTGCCTCTTAATCTAACTATATCTAGTATTATCTTGTTTCTTACATTTCTTACTTTTTTGTTACTATACTACTTTCAAATTGGTTCTACTTGGGTATGTTTAATTCTTATAATTTTCCTATCTTTGGTATGCCTGTTATTGATTCTCTTAAAATGTTCTGACAATAGTTTAGGATCTGCAAAGAACCTGTATCTCAAGCCAGATCTGCTGCCACCATTGGTCTTTTTGACTAATTCATATCTCAAGCCAGGTCTGCTACTACCATTCCTGCAGATGCCTCAGGTCTTAATATTATATAGTAACTCAATGCTGCATTTAACCTCCAATGTGATGCTCCCTTTTATAGTAGGGACTGAGACTTGTTGTGCTTACAAACAGGACAATTCTAGTTATATCTAGAAAGTTTATTTGACCTTAATAATATTATTCTACTATATATTGCAAGCTTTCAACTTATTCGATAGTACTTGCAAGACAATTCTGATTATACCCCAGAGAGTTACACCAACTCCAGTAATGCTATACTACTTGCAAACCTTATCTCACATTGGTTGGTTAATTCCAGTTTTGTTTATTATAGACTTCCATATAGATATAACCAGAAACCCGATTTGGTACTTTTGCATTGCACAAAGAAGTTATACATCAACCTCTAAGATTTTTCCCTTCTATAATTAGATTATTCAGCTGTGCCAGTAGTGCTTTCAATTTTTGGTTAAACCAATCCTTTATCACAGTCTATTCTTATATTCACCACTTCTCTTACTATTTCAGTCTTGGTTACTTTCAGAATACTCTCTCAATCAAATTCTCTTCTTGAATTTTAATTAAGACTTATTTGCACAATCTATTGATTATCCTTCCAAGCAAATACCTCACAAGTTGGGTGCAGGAATGTTGGTACTGCCTATATTAGGAGGTATAAAGATGTTGGTGCTGTTTTAGCCTAAAGAACTTATATGTGCAATCTTTTTATAACTGTAACCTTCTGTAACAACCACTTGTTACGCATAGTGCCTACACTCCATGATTGGATCTCCTTTCAGGAATTTCTATTTCCATCATTGTACTGCATTTGAACTTACCTACGGGCTTTGCATTCAATTACAGGCTCCTTATTAGGTTACAAAAGCTAAATTTTTTCAATTTTGCCTCCAGCCAGACTTGAACTATTAACCTTAACTGTAGAGGGTATAAGAGCTTAACTGCTAAGCTATGGGACCTACATCAATAGTTTACTGATATTCTATAATAAAGATAAATATAATTATATTATCTTAATTATCTATAAATGATATTTTAGTCAATTAAATATATTTAATGCAATATTTTTTTATTAATAATTGAATATTGACTTATTTGTAAAATATTAGTTCAGGAGGAATAGCAACCTAGTGAAGTTGTCAGGTTGTCAATTCTTCAAATAGTAGGTTGGATGTTAAAATCCTATTAATAGTAAAAATTTGAATAATCACCTATATATTATTTGTATTATGGCAACTGTTATTAATGATTAAGTTAGGATATTTGTAATAACAGTTACACCAGCATGCCTGGCAGGTCATGAAGTATTTGTGTAAGTATGGCATTATACAGAGGAATGCAAACTGATAAATCAGATGGTGCAAATACTAGATAAGTCCTTGTGGTCATGTAAATCTGTTGAAATTAGATAACAAGAAGACTATTTGGAAAGATCCGAGTAAAGAGATAGTTGGATTTTTGATAGCCCTACTATAAAGGCTAGCTCAGAAAAACAGATACCAAGATTATAGTACCTGGTCATAGTAGCCAGATGGGCAAGAACTTTTAAGTTGGGAGTTTTGAAGATATTACCAACCAGGCTATTAAAACGAACTGAAGAAAAAGAATATCAGGCCAACCTAATATACTAATAAACTGGTTATAGTTCTATATAGACTATCTGAATTGAGAGTTTGGTAAAAAGGCAGATAAAAAGGCAAAAATATACTAAAGTATTGAGATTATGCTATAAAGTAGATGCTGGAATCTAAGTAAACTCTATAAGGCATAGCAGTTTAATGGTTAAGCCCTAACCTCAAGTGTTGGTTCTGCTATAGTGATACCTAGGTCAGTTTTAAAAATGCATACAGAAGGCTCTGAGAGATTTATTTCAAGAATAAATTAGTCCTAAGATTGAAATGATGATCTGGGCATCTGGGTATGACCTAGTAAGTTAACACAGATTATAGATTTAGAGTTTTAAGTAGAACACCCAAACAGAGATATTAGTTATAGCAATTGGTAGGAAGCCTTCAGGTGAATTTTATAAATAGGTAATATGAAAAGTTACACATATAGCCAATTGTACACTCTTCTGTAGTGGTTCATTGAATCACAATATCAATAAGTGATTAATAAAAGTTAAAAGACCAAAGAGTTCATCTTAATACCAAAAAAAAATTAAAAAATATTAGTTCATAATATTTTGTAAATTTAAAAACAATATAATAAATATTTTATATATAAAAATATTATTTTATTATATAATATTTATTTATTAGATGTTTAAATTTACTTTAGCCAATATTTATTTGATATATACTAATTTATATTTTATTATTTAATATACTATAACATTATATAGAAATATATAATAAAAAATATATTATTTTTATTTATCATTTTTTTTTATTTATTATTTTTTTTTTTATCTTCATTTCTCCTTTTTTGTTTTTCTTTATCTTTTTTTTGCATCACACTTTCATCTTTACTTTTACTTTTACTTTTATTTTCATCTTCACCTTCATCTTCATTCTTATCTTTACTTTTATCTTCATCTTTATCTTCACCTTCATCTTTTCATTATTTTTACTTTTATTATTATCTACCTAATATATTTGCAAATTTTCTTCTTTTTCTACTTGTATTAATTTACTAGTCTTTATTGTAAATTTTTTTGGTCTTATTGTTAATGGGCTTGCAGTTGCTTCAGCTAATATATTTGCTATTGTTGTTGCTAGTATTTTTGCTATTATTGCTACTAGTATTCTTGTATTGTTGCTACTAGTATGCTTGCTGTTGTTGCCACTAGTATGCTTGCTGTTGTTGCTGCTAGTATACTTGCTATTGTTGCTACTAGTATGCTTATAATTGTTGCTGTTATAGTTCTTGAAAACTTGATAGAAAAGAACTTCTTTCTCTTCTTTCTGTTTTAGTTTGTTTATTTTTTTTATATAATACAACTTTATTATCATCATTATAATTATCTCTTTTTCTTTTACTAGTTTTTTTTATACCAATTTCTTCTTTACTTTGCTTATGCTTGACTTTTTTTTTTTCTTTTTTTCTCTTAGAACTTCATCTCTAGTAGAATAATTTGCATCAAATTCTGGTTCTAAAATATTATAATGGCTTAGTGCATTAGCTAATAGTGTCTAGTTAAAACAATTCTGTGATAGAGTCTCTTCTCTATTTA